TAGGACAGAAAGCCTGTCTGATCCACTCAAGAAAAGGTACTCATTTTACTAAGGCTTTTGTGTTAGATCTCCACATGAGCCCTAGCCTATTCTTCATGACTTTATGTTTTCTGAACACTCTAGGGTCTCAGAGTGATAAACCAAGAGAGGCTTTATCTTGAGGTCACTACTCGCATTGGCACATAGCAATAAGGTTAGCCTATCCTTCATAGAGTTGTAGCCTGGCATTTTCTTCTCTTCCTGGGTAATGTATGTTCTCCTGTGCATTTTCTTCCAGAAAAGGCCAGTTTCGTCACAGTTGAAAACTTGGTGAGAGTAAAAGCCATTTCTGTGTGACATTGTTTCGAAGTGGTGCATGTAATTTTCAGCAGCCCTTTTATCAGCACTGGCTGGTTCACCATGTGTAGTTATGCTACAAACCCCAATTCTCGCTTCAAAATTGTAAAACCACCCCTTACTAGCAAGGAATGTTTCACCATTATCACTCATTGATAGATTATCCTTTATGAGCTCTGCCTATATAGCCCTGGCTTTTTCACAAATTATAGACTTAGATAGGCTATAACCTGCCACCTGCCTTTCATTTATCCACACTAATAATAGCCTTACTACCTCACCTAACACTGTTTATCCTGACTTAACTGATTTGAGTAACACCTTTAGCATCACTAGCTTCTTTATATAAATCTTTTCTTTGTAAGATTATTGAGATGGTGGATTTTGACATGCTGTACGTATTAGTAAAATTGGTCACACGAATGCCATTTTCATATTTCTCCACAATTTCCTTCTTATTTTTGATTGTGATTGCTTTCTTTACCTTCTCTTCTTTCCTTAGCTTCTTTTTTTAGCTTTTTGTGGGCCATTTAATAGCAGTAATCATAGCAATTATATAAAGCACTGACCAAAATCACATCCACAAACATGTGGATCTGGACTCAGACTGATGCTTAGGTATGCTTGCATATGCTTTTCTGGCATCACGAGTCTTTGTTTACAACCACACAATGGCTGGCATTTGGGTTGCAACTCAAGACTTTAGACATAAGTTAAAACTAAAATTCCAGTTGTAACCCAAGTTGTTTGTGTATGAGGTCAGTCTTTCTTGAGGGTCCACTGTACCTGTCTTGGAGAACAGTACACATGGCTCTCCCCTGTGGGGGGATGAGTCATCAGGATGGGCCGTCTCCAGCATTAGATGAGTGGAGGGGGAGAGGAGCTTCCCCTCAAGGAAGCTAGAGGAGACCAAAGAGGTATGGGGCAGGCAGAGGCAGCAGATGGTCACTCTGCCCACTGCTCTCTTGTATTCCTCCTGTTCTCTTAGAAAGCTTCCTCCTAGTTTCTTCTACTCTTTAATCATTCTCAGTAGAGAAAGCCAGTTGGACATATTTTTCTAGGTGTTTAGAAGAGTGCCATACTCCTTGTGTTTTTCATTTTCGCGATGCCTTTGTGTTTGGTTTCCTCAGACATTAGGCATTTGATGGCATCTACCTTGCTTGGAGAATTTGCTTAAATAGCTTCCAAGTGGCAAGTTTAAGGGTGAGGGTGATAAACAGAAGGAGGGGTAGGCAGCCACCTGCTGAGGGAAAAGTGCTAGAGAAGCTCACTAATGGACAGGATGGCATGGCAGTGATGAGAATGTGGAGGGGCAGGTGCTGGCAGCACAGGCAGGGAAGGCAGTGAGTGCATAGAGAAATCAGAGGAGGAGCTGGTCACAGTCACCTTTGAACTTAGTAAGAAAAGTACAAGTTGGACTTTCTGGAATTTTGAGGCCTTGAGGGAGAATCTGGTCATAGTAAATTTAGGGGTGGCAAGGACAGTGTTTCTGTGTATGACAAAGTCTCCAAGGCCAGAAGCACATGTCTGGAATACCATTTCCTAGACCTGGATCCAGCTCCCTCCGGCTGGCGGCCCCTCACACAAATGCCCTGTCTAGCTGTGGTGCAGCCATCACACTGCCTGGCCCAAGGCCGCTGCTGTTAGAGTGAGGCACTGTGCACGCATGAACTCAGGTAAGCCTCACACCGCATCAATAGTGTGGGTGTAAGCATCTCCAGGTCTCAGATGAGGAACTACAGCTCCAAAAGTAAAGTAAATCCAATAGAAGCATCAGCAGCAGAGTTGGGCCTTGAGCTCAGGTTTGGTGACTGGGGAGCTGGCACTCTCTGCCACTGGTCCACCCATTCATCCATCCACCCGGCAAATTCCCTGGAGCACCTCCTGGGGCTCTTCTCCAGTGTGCTAGGCAGTTTTCTGTGGCCCTGATGAAGTAACTGAGGTAGGCAGCTCCTTTGCAGGAAAGGCCCTTTTGGCTCACAGTTTCAGAGGCTTCAGGCTGTGCTTGGCTGGCTCCATCGCTTTTAGGCCTGTGGTGAGGCAGAAATGTTGTGGTAGAAGGGTGCGGCAGAGCAAAGTGCCTCATCTCATGGTGGCCAGAGAGAGCCAGAGAGGAAGGGGCTTAGGACAGGATATGGTCCCCAAGGTCACACGCCTACTGCCCATTCCCTTTAACCAGGACACATGTCATAGAGCTCTCATTACCTCCCAAGAAGGCCATCAAATTTTGACTGATCCACTGACAAAGTTAAAGTCCTCACAATCCAGTTACTTTCCAAAGCCTCACCTCTGAATATGTGAGCCTTTTGGGGGGATATTTTAGATCCAAACCATAACACTGAGCTTGACCTCTCACTATAAGTGTGGACATCCAGTCAGGAACTGACAGACAGTGTTATTTCCTACACACTTGGAAACATTCATTGTATATGGGAGGTAACAAGGTTTGTGCCTTGGAAAGTCTTGAGAGAAATTTTAACTTCAGGACTATACTGGTCATGATTCTTTAAATTCTGGAGACCCAGCTTACTCCTAAACTAGACGAAATGAAAAATAGTTCAATATGGGCTCATGTAATTGGGAAGTGTGAAGGTGGACCTGAGACCTCAGATACATCTGAATCTCCTGGTGAAGAATGCCTGTCCTTGATACCCGCTCCCCCTTTCTTCTTTCCAGAGACAGAGCCATTCACCTGTTGATTTTTGGCCCCCTCGCCAGCTTTCCTTCCAGCTAAGTGTTGCTGTGACCAGGTATTGGCCAATGGGATATGAACAGGTGACAATTTCTGTTTCAAGACCCAAAAGGTGTTCGGCTTCCACATTTCCCTAGGGCTGGAATGTAGAAGTGGACTGTGGGGTGCCTTTGGCCATGTGGAGGAGGATAATCAGAGCAGCCAGCTCTGACCTAGAGATGGAGGCTTCTTCCTGCTGAGGACAGCAGCACTGTCCGCCATCTTGGGTTCCTGGATGGCTGTATGGACTGCCTGATGGGCCACCTCTGACTGTTGCCCCAGACAGGAATAAACTATTCTGTTTGCAACACTGCATTTTGGGACTTCTTTGTTACAGCAGCTTACCTACTGCATAACACCACAATAGTCCAAAATAGTTGATTTCTCTCTGAGTTTTTAACTTGTACAGGCAGCCTCCTTCCCACGACCAGGAAAAGAACTGGAGTCAGCCTCAGGCCCCATCTTCTTCATTTAGCCACCCAGATTGTCTTTCCCAGCACCCATCCCAGGAAGAGGCTCAACTGCCCCTGCCTGGTTCACATGGCATCACTAGGGGCCCAAGACTGGGGGATGATTGGCTGTGATTGGGTCATGTGCTGAAGCAGCTCCTGCCAATGGTACCATCAAATGTCATGAACAGGGAGGGCAGCTCCTGTAGAAAAGGGGTTGTTTCTACAAGAAGAGGGGAAGGGACACACATGAGGTAATAATGCTAGATTTTCATGACAGTCATTTAGTATCTGCATGACTTGGCTTGTACCAAACCTCACTAAGCCTGCTTTCTCATATGTAAAATGGGGTTACCTATCTTAGAGGGGCTGTAAAAAATATATTCTGCCAAAAAAGTCTACACACTTCAGCAGTTCACTGTACTAATAAATGCCTGGAAGCTCATGGCCACCACTTTGAGCACCTTTTGTAATTGTAGAGACCAAAGTAACTCATATTAATCTCATGATGTCTCAGTAAACTTAGTATTAAAATATTGTACAAGTTTTTCTTTTCCTGATGTATACATCTTTTGGTCCCCCCCCTTGCTCAATTACAATATGATAGCTACCATTTTATTTTTGAATAACTAGCTATATTCAATTTTTTCTTGGTTGGTAAGGAGAATTGGGGTGATTTTAGACATGATATACAGTTATGGAGCTTTTATGGACCCTGGTCTCAGTTCGGAGTGACTGTCAAGCTGACCCAATGACTCCTAAAGCTGTGTGGAGAAGAAATGGGTTTGGAGCCAGGGGAGCCCACAGGAGGAAGCAAGAACTTCTGAGAGGAGGAAGACGGAGTGTGTGTTCCAGAGGCGGCCAGGATCTTCTGGATTTCGGGAATTGTGGGGGCAGTATGACCTTTCCCTTGTCTGAAGGAAGAGTAAACACATGCTTATTTATAAACTAGCTCTGAATCTGCAAGTCCCTGTAGGAATGAAACCCCTAACCCGAGTTCCCAAAGTGAGGCCTCTGGACTGCAGCACCCCCTGGCCATGCTAGGGGTGCACACTGTTGCACCCCACAGACCCGCTGATCCCGGTGCCCACCCAATCTCGAGAACCGTGGGTCTAGATGACTGCACACTTTGGAGCAATGCCAGTGGCCAGCAGCCCAGGGGAGGGGACTGATGTCCCTCAAGCCACCCCAGAGTGGACTGGGTATGCAGGTCTTCCCACTCCCACTCCCACGCTCTCCGCAGGATTTTTAAGAACAATGTGAGACTGCTCTGGAGAAGGGAGGCTCTAGAACTTCCTGCTCTGTTCCAGAGGCTCAGAAGAGCCCACGGCAGCAGCCTGTTTCTAAAGCCCCATGCGCTGTTGGACCCCCGAGGTGGATGAGGAGAGGGGGTTGAGATGGATTTGCAGCAGGGGGAACTCGGTTGGAACCCCAAGGCCTGGGAGCCAGCAGCAGTGAAGAGCAAGGAACAGAGGAAAAGGTTATAAAAATGTTTAGTCTTTGCTTTATTGAGTTACAACAAATGAGCAACAAGTTAGAAAAACTGGTTTTTATTCAAACTCCCTAGCATTTTATTTGTGCAGTGTACTCAACAGAAGGATGTCAGGAGGGGAAAAGGGATTGCAAACAAAAATCACATTGCAACATTTATACCGGATGTATCTCTTGGTTTTCCTTCTTTAAAAGTTAGGACTATCTAAAAAAAAAAGTGCACTCATGTATCTAAAATTGGCCCAAAACACACAGACACACACACACACACGCACGCACGCACGCACGCACACACGCACGCACACAAAGTATCGATTCATGGTGAGGCTTCAAGCTAAAGCTTCTCAAATACCACACCAAGAAAAGGCAGTTAAGAAGAGAAATGAAAACCCAAAGCTGTTTGTCTTTGTACCACCTTGAAAGGGAGATCTTTTGTTTGTTTAACTTCATAAGCATAGATGGTGCTAATAAATGTGGAGCCCTTCCTGCTGGTATTTAAAAAGGTGCTTAAGAGAACAGCCACCTGCTACCCAGTCCTTCTAGCGCTGCTGGCCACGCTGGCCTGAGACAAGCAGTGGAGAAGTCAGACGAGTGGAAAACCTGTGTGTGGGTGAGGCAGGGGTCCCAAAGCAGCCCGGAAGAACCAGAAGTGCATTTGATGTAGAGATCTGCCACCTGCAGATCCACTCAGAGTGGAGACAGCCCAATCCAGCCCTTTCCACCAAGAAACCTTCCAAACTTCAGGCTACATTTAAAAATAAATTCTCCCTACTTAAAATCCAATAGCTATAATGGCACTAATACTAGCACACCCTTCCCAAATTAATAAAAGAAAAATAAAACAAAGAAAAGCAATGTGGTTAGCCTTCACTCCTGGAAAAAATCTTGCGGTGGTAGTGCTGGAAAAGGAAGTTGTCCTTGATTAAAAAGGTAACAAAATTCCCGTAGAGTACAAATCAGTTCCAGTATAGCAAGAGGCGGGCCTGGGTCAGAGGAGCCGAGTATGTACAAGGACCCATTGGAAACAGCAGTAGGACTTTGGCACTGTGAACGATTCCCGTCCCTCCTCCGGGAGTGCATGGGGAGCTCTCCAGGCACTAGTGAGCGTGGCAGTTCCACTTGGACTCACTGGTGAGGGCACCCCCCCTGCGAAGACGGAAGTTCTCCTTCCTCAAAGACTGTCCCCACCACAGCGCAGTTCTGAAGGACTCGCCTAGAAGGAGGACACAGAGAGAGAGAACGTCAAGGAGAGGACCTTCCCTGCCTGGGCCTTCACTTCTGCTGGCCCTCCGGGGGTTGCGACTCCTTCCAAAGCCATCCCAGGGCTTGGAGGAGGAGCAACACCCTCCAGTTAGGGGCCTGTTGCAGAAGTTTCCTGAGCACAGTGGCCGTTGTGCAGAGTCTGGCCTTTGATGTGGGGTGGCTGCTGGGAAAGTGAAGGTGCTGCTCTTTGACAACTGCATCAGCACAAGACCCCTCCCCGATTCCGGGGAGGATCCTGTCCCAGGGGCCTGAAAGTCCCCAGTGTCACTAGCCTGGACTTAGGTCCCGCCTTCCCCTGTGGTGGTTGTGGGGCTGTACCCACATAACTCGATTTCTGCAGGGATTGGTTTATGTTGCCGTAAAACAGGCATGATGACGGCACCCGGTTTGTTGAGTCGTGGCCATCCAGTGAGTTGATACGTACAGCAGCATTTGGAATGGTGCCTGGCAATGCTGAGTAGACCGAATGCTTTCACTGGTTTATTACATTGTCTTTCACAATGATAGGATCCATTAGGACAAAGATGAGACACTTACAATGTATTTTTATTTAATGTTCATATTAACACTAAGAAGTATAGATATTAGTGTTATTCCTGTTTTACAAGTGAGGAAACTGAACCCAGACAGGATAAATACATTAGCCCAACATCACACAGCTAGCAAGAGGCGGAGCCAGGACTCAAACTCAGGCACTCTCTGGAGTCTGTGTCCTTAACAAACAGTATGCATTACATCAGTATGGAGAGGTACTTAATTCTTACACTTGGAAGAAATGAAAATAGTCTAAAGGCTTGCCATGGGTTGGATAGTGTCCCTCCAAGTACACATGTTGAGGTCCTAACCCTCAGTGAGCACTCAGAGTTGGAAGTACTATTTGGAGATACCTGCACGGATGTCATCAGGTGGGCCCTCTCCACCGTGACTGATGTCCTCACAAAAGGGGGCAGTTTGGGCCCTGAGACAGACACACGCAAAGGAAAGATGTGAGGCTGCCACCCAGGGGGCGCTGTGTGACGCCAGGCGATTGATCAGGAAGTGCATCCACACCAGAGTGAGCAGACTCCTCCTCAGCCCTCAGAGGAGCCACCAGGCCAGTCTCCAGAGCTGTGGGGAGGCATTTCTGCTGTGTAAGCACTCACACAGGGGCACCTTATGGAGCTCCAGGAAAGACAGCTCTCAGATCCTGAGGAGAGACTCCTAAGGGAGGCTCAGGACTGTGAAGGATGCTGCCAGTATTCCCTGACAGGCTAGAGGATCCCTGAAACCACAGGCTTTTCCTTTGCGCCCCCTCCTGGGAAGGCCACTGGTATGATGACATGCAGATGTCCCCCTAAAGCCCATGCAGTCATAGGCAGGGCCTTTGGAAGGCAACTGGATTAGAGTGCATTATGTAGCTGACTGTGTTAGGACATGGGCCTGGGTAGAAGAGGTGGCTCACTGTGGGCATGATCTGGAAGGTTGTATGTCCCTCCCTGCCCCTCCCTTGACTCTGCTTCCTTGCTGTGGGGAAGTGAGCACCAAGCCCCTCTGCCACTCTGTCCTGCCATGGAGCCAGCTGACTGGGAACAGAAACTTGAGCCCAAACAAGCCTCTCCTCCTTTAAGTTGCAGGTGTCGGGTATCGTGTTCCAGGGGCAAAGAAAGTGACTGGGCCAGACAGGTTATTGCTCAGCCACTTTGGCCAAGAAGGACCTGTGCAGGGACCAAGAGCAAGAAGAAGAAACTTCTTAGCTACAGGCACTGGCAGGTCTTTATACTGTTCTTCACTTCTCCAATCTGGGTGTTAAACACCCCCACATTCCCTGGGAGTAAGACTGAATTATTGCACTTAAGAAACCAACTTGTGGCCGGGGATTTAGCTCAGTGATTCTGGTGCCTGCCTTGAAAGCTCAAGGTCCTGAGTTCGATCCCTGGTACCCAAAAAAAAAAAAAAAGAAACCAACTTGTGAAAGTCTTGTGGATACAGGCAGACTGCAGGGGTGCCCTGGGGTCTGTTTCCTCCTGCAAGTGATCCAGCCAGTCACCCGTCAGAGAGCTGCCTGGGTCCTCACTGGCGATATCGCTGACATCGCTCACTGCAGGAGTGAGACAGAGACTCAGGGGCCCCAGGACTGCTCAGGAGCAGTCAGAAGCAGAGATGACCATGATTACGACAGTAGCTAGTATTTCTGCTGCTTTTAACATGAGCCAGGAGAAATGCCAAGGGATAGTAGGCATCACCTCATTCACTCCTTACAGGATCCCAGCAGACCCACTTATCAGCAAAGAAACTGAGGCTTAGAGAGACCAAACCTTATGCTTAACATCAGGCAACTAATAAGTGGTGGAGTCGATTCTGCCCTGGCCGGCCCAGCCACAGAGGTGCCCCTGCCCACCGGGTGGTTGTGCAGAGTCAGCGGAGGGCACATAGGTTTCCGAGGCAGGAGCTGTGGGCAATGCCTGGGGTGCTGACCTGGGCAGGGGTCTCTCATGGCCTCACTTGTGTGCACTTGGAAGCAGCAGCACGGACAAAATCAGCTTTGGCCCCAAATTCTCCTCTTCACCAGCAATGGGTGCTCCTCTCTGAATGTGTTTCCATCTCAGGCTCCCAGGCAGAGGCCCTGGCACATCCGGGCCAAGCTGTCCTCTCACACTGCAGAGTGACATATCTTGTGTCCCTTTGCTTCACTCTCCCTTCTCCAGGTGCCCAGGAAGAAGGCCCACTCCTGCCCAGGTCCCCAGGATGCAGCTTGGGTTTTGCTGGGGGACACTCTCCCCTGGGTCTACACCATCGCGGATTCTGCTCACACATCAGGTTCCTTCTAGTTCCTGAACATTGTCACATGGGCAGCTGTCCCTCAGATCTCGCAAACACCTGCATCCCACTCCCTCTGGAGGGCTTTTGTTCCAGATGCCATCAGATCAGTTGAAATGTTCTCATGCTGGGGCTTCTCTGGCATGACCATCACAGGCCGACTGCAGATCACCCAGGTAGTTGTACGTGGAGCCAAAGCTGGGAGGATGGGGACTGTGCCTGTCGTGTTCACTGCTGGCCCTGCCACCTGTCCTGTAGTGTCCCATGCAGGACACTCAGCATGCTTGTAATGAATGAAAATCGGGAAGCGAGCATGGTGCTGCCACAGTGGTGGCTGTTATTTAGGTTTTGTCCAGACTATCACTGTACTTTGACTGTCTGGCTCTTGCTAATTCCCCTGGGCGTCTCTAGGAGTCCTATCACTTGATCAGACATTCAGCCAGCAGAGCACCATGCCCTAATGGGTCACTTCATCCTGAGCACCAGATCTCAGCTTTGAAGGAAACTGCAAGGCCATCGGGTGCTGCCAGGACATCTCTACCTCAAGGACGTCTAGCCCCTCTGAGAACATGACCCATGACAGGGAATCCCCACTTCCCACAACTACGTGGGAACAACTTGCTGTGTCCAAAGCACCACTTAATTCTTTAGAAAAATCTGCTTATGTGTTGGGGAAACATGAAAAAAATTAAATTATTTTTCCATGTGACAGCTTTCTGTTTGCTTCTCATTTTCCCTGTAGGGCTTTCCCTAAGGCCTAGGGGACTTGGGAGAGAATAACACTGCACTCCACCAAGAAAAGCAAACATGAGCTGGTGATTATCTTTCCATAGCATTTCTTCTTTATTTTTACCACTACACTTGTCTATTATAGCAATAATTGACCACTGGTGACATTGGGAGGTGCAATTGGAAGTCTGTGGCTCTCTGTAGCTGCTGCCATGTGATTTACCCATTTTACCGCTGTCTTCCTCCTGGTAACATTCCAAGGAGGGGCTCGGTGGTTGTATGAGGAAGGGGTGACTGGTAAGACTGCCTGCTCACGTCTCTCTCCCTGTGCTTTCCATGTGTCAGGCACCCTTTCCCCGCAGCACCCTCTTTTCAGCCCTGCTTCCTCTCAGTAATGCCCTGCTCCACAGTGGCACCCCAGGAGGCCCCTGCTCTGGTGCTCTGCGAGGGAGCTGCAGCCCAGTCTGGGCAGTCCTTGGGGAAATGCAGGGTGCTTTTGGGAAGACAGGGGAGGGCCCGACACACAGGGTGCCTCTGCTGAGGGTTCTGTCCTACAGACTCCACCATAACAAGCACCACATGTGGCTAATGGTAGCCACATGGCTGTGGGGCTGGGCTCCACTCCTTCCTGAGGGAGCTGCGGAAGGGTGCCGGGCCCACACACCCAGGCTCTGAAACCAACAGGGAGGGTGGATTCGTAGTGGGCGCGCTGGAGTGTGTGGTCCAGGTCAGGCGGGAAATCCTGACTCAGGGTGTAACTCTGCTCTGGGGCAGGACTTTTACCCCTTAACTGGAGATGCACGTGGAGACAATGGAGCGAGAGAAGCAGAGCTGACTGCTTATTCACTCAGGGCCTGCTACCTTGTCTTGTCCCTTTGGGATGGCTTCTGTTTTTGTTGGGAAGAAATCTGCGTTCTGTTTAATAGTCGTTCCTCTGTGGCCAGTGTCTTTTCTCTCTGGATGCTTTATTTATTCTTTTGTCCTCATTTACTGAGGTATAATTGGTGTGCAAAAAGCCACACATAACGAATGTACACACTTCGGTGAACCCAGACATATTGCATATACTCGTGTTGTTACTGCTGTGATCTAGGAATGAAACTGTCTGGAGCTCTGAAGGTTCCATGTGTCCCTTCCGTTTTTTGTTCTAAGAATAGCCGACATGAGATCTCCACCTCCTTAAGGCAAACTTGAGTGCACATTTTACTGCTAGCTGCAGATACTCTGCTGGACAGCAGCTCTTGACAACTCACCTTGTGTGGCTGCAGCTTTTTGGTCACAGGGCAGCCCTGGCAAACAGCCTTCTATCATCCACTTCTAGGCCACCCCATAATATTTCGGAGTCAAACTTTTATTTCTCTTATTGAGAGTAGAGGCCATAGTTTGATTTTAAGTAGAATCAAAAAAAGGAGATTTTGCTGGCAT